TTTAGAGATGGAATCTATTTTGATTAAGGTACCTCAGAAAGAAAGGGACGGGGAATAAAAATCTATCTAAATCACTGGGAGGTTTTCTTTAAAAGCATTTAAGTTACATTTTTGAAAGCAAAAGCAACATGCACAGTTAAAGCCATTGTAGTTGACCATTGACCAGGGCCGGCTCTGGCTTTTTTGCCGCCCCAGGCAAAAAAGCCTCCGCCCCCCCCCCCAGCGCCGGAGCCCCGGGGGGAGGGCGGTGAGCCCCGGCCAGGGCTCCGCTCTCCCCGGCGGCCGGGGGGAGGGCGGCCGGGGGCAGGGCGCCGGGGGGGGAGGGCGGCCGGAGCCCTGGGAGGAGGGCGGAGTGCCCGGCCAGGGCTCCGCTCTCCCTGGCGGCCAGAGCGCCGGGGAGAGGGCGGCGATCCCGGCCGTGGCCCCGCTCTCCCCGGCCGCTGGAGCCGGAGCAACGCGCCGCCCCCCTCCAGGTGCCGCCCCAAGCATAAGCTTGGTGGGCTGGTGCCTGGAGCTGGCCCTGCCATTGACTGATGGCTCTCTCACCTTTTCTTGATATAGAAACTGACTTTGCATAAAAAATCCAACTCTACAGAAACAAACCATGAAAGTAGAGAAGTAAAAGGTAGAAAATAGAAGTAGTAATAAAAACCTTTTCCCCTCTTCCTCTGGATTCTTATGAAGAAGGTGGTTTTGGTTTGTTTGTTTTTTGTGCAAATATTATGTATCAATGGTTCTTTGTAAGCTTATAGAGTATCCTCCTGTGTAAAATTATTTCATATTAAAGAAAAAAAATGTGACCTGACAAAGTGAACCCTAATTTAGGAGCTAGAAAAATTTTTAAAAATCTGATATTGGGTTTCTTTTAATGTGCCCTCTAGTAATGTTTGTTTTGTTTTCTAATTGCTTTATAGATGTTTTAGTAAGGGATTTCTGGTTAAAATTTTTGATAACTGCAGCATACAGTACTTATTGGGAGCCTCAAAGCTATGTGTATCTCTGTGATATATGTATTTCCATATTTCCCTTTTATGTAATGAAGTCTCTCTCACACTCAAAATGCCATCTGGAAACAAGCTTCATGCAGAGCATATGTATCAACTTTTAGCTGAGAAGGAAATTGTTGGTATTTGTGACCCACAGGGTATCTTTACAGACAGCCGAGTCATCATTTTCCTTTTCTGCTAAGCAATGCCTGTTCCACTCATTCTGCAGAATACATTTTTTTTACATCTAGGGCCTGATTTTCAGAGAAGCTGGCCCCTACAACTCCAACTAAAATTGATAGGAACGGCAAGTGTTCAGCACCTTTTAAAATTGGGACCTTAGTGTTGGAAATGCAGTGAATGACTTATTACTGAAAGATAGGCACCACGTCATTGAAATTATATAGAATATTATTATGGTGGAATTGTGCAGGGAAGTCCCTGCAACCAAATGGGTCAAAACAAAAACACCCTATTGAAAGGAGACACTCTATTACACACACTTATTCCCCCAGGGAGAGGATGAGTACACACACACAGTGCGTGACAGATGTTAGTCACATCACTTAATGCACTACTGGCGAGTGCTCCGAGGTGAGGAGCATGGTATAAGAACCTGAATAGAATATAGTAGGGTCATGGGGTTATGAGACAACCTCTGCTTTTTCTGTCTGCATCCCAGCTTTTTCTTCTGTTTTCCACTATTTACTTTTTGTGGAAACAGTGATACTTTTCGCTTTCTGTGTACTACATCTCTCTACTTCCCTGAGTGAGGATTTCTGTAACCATTTTGTTCTTAGAGTTCAGTGAAGACTATTACATAGGAAACACAGCCTGTATAATCTTTCAATAACAAATCTTATTCCCACTAAAAATGTACTGTTTATATATGAAGAAACATAAGCTTTTTAAAAATTGCTGTTAGATATCTAAAACAGCACTAAATGAAAGACTATTATATTGTTTTGTTGAAAAGTAGCCTAGTATACAATTCCTCATACAAAACAAAATGCTAGAATATAAATTATACATGTTCTAAAATCTATAATGCTTCATTAAAATTAATTGACAATCAATTTTAAAAGGAGCTATTTTAGTGTCCTTAGTTTTTTAAAAGCTTGTTTAAAATTTACTTTTTTAAAATGTTTCCCTAACAGCCACCTGAGACAGACACACACAGCCAAAGCCCTGTGCTTATTTACAAATTGCAGTGACTTATTTTTAGAGATCTTAATGTTGCTTATACCAAACAGCTGATGACTGTATTGTTTGAGCTCTGTGGGATAAAGTGAAAAAAATATGCTAACACTGAAGCTTCTTGTTCCCACTCTATCATGCCACTGAGCCCACACTCTGCAGGAAATACCTGTACTCCTACACTTCAGCAGCAGGCAAGCTTTCCATTAGCGAGCTGTGAGAAACTTTCAGCCAGAAAATAGTAACATGCGGTCCACTCTGGATAGTAACTTTCAGGCTCTTGGTAAGGAAATATCTGTGATTATGTCTCCCTGTAGTATCTGGTCCACATAGAGGCTATGAATCTGCTACTTACAGCTAAGAAAGTTGTTCCATGAGATCATAGGATGCTTTGGTTAACAAAGATAGTAGTTGTGCTTTTGGTGCTGTAGGCACTGGGCTCTGTCCTTGGTGATGACCCCTCCTGGTTTTGTTACAATAGCTCTGTCAATTGGGCTCTTTATGGTGGATACTAAACTGGAAAGTCTGAAGACTAGTTTACAGCTGAGAGTGAATTAATGGTGGTGGAGAGAGAAATAAGAGACAAAATAGCAAGAGACATAAGAAAACAAAAATGTATAAAACCGAGGCCTAGATCTTGGGGTGCAATTCTGGAGGGGTGTGCAAGCATAGATTAGATGGGTTAGCCTACTTTAAAATCTTTATTACAGCTGTTGTTTTCTTTGAATTATTGCCAGTGCACTTTCTTACACTCCTCTCTTCTGACCTTTATGGAGCAGCAGTACTTTGCTGATCCTATTGATGCTTTGTGCAATCAGGTCCCTGTGTGCTGTTAGAGCAGCCTAAGGACTGCTGTAATTTATGCCAGCTGTATTGGCCACAAGATGCTATAAAAGTACATCCATGCCCCTTTTTTCTCTTACACTGAGATGGAGTAAGAGCCTCTATGTTGATTCTGCACCACTGGTCTTCATCCTCACTGGGCTAGTTAGAATAGTTTTAGTGCCAAATTATTCTAGCGATGCCATGCATTCTAATTGGAGCACAATTCCCCCCCAAAATATGGGCTGATATGAACATAGAAGGCTTGAGTGCCAACAAGAACTAAAAATCTCAGAATCCTAATGTAGAAAGACCTTTTGCCACTGGTGGCTATTTTAGAAAATAAAATCCGTGTGTTGCTGGTTTTGGATATCAGTGGTGAAAACGATTGTGCCTCAGCAAAGAACACTGTGCACGTCTCTCTGAACTCACGGGTACGCAGGGGGCATCACGCCCACTGCTGCACTAATGCAAAAAGGGTGCAGTATAAGATGAATTCATAAAAGGTGCTGATACCTGACCTCCTTCTACAGCAAGGGACAAGTCTTTGAAGTGAACAGCAATATAAACAGTAGTCAATAAATGTGGGACCAGAACTCACTATTCAAAATTCACCTTCCTCTCAAAGAAAATTTGAATCGGGAGCATCTTTTGCTCTTGAATTTGTTGGAAATTTGAGCCTTGCCTGACGTGGTGGTGCAATGGACTAGAAAGCCTGATTCAGCAGATATGCTGAATGTTCAGCATAACTGGGCACACACTTCATAGCTCTTTGTTTTTTCTTGTAAGAGAATTTAAAATAAAAAGAGAACATTTGTTGTTAAAATAGTTCAAAATTAGATGGTGAATTCTGACAGAGCAGAACTAATTCCTGCTGATGAATAAAAACATGGAATGCTTAAATCTTGAAAACTGTGTTTTGTTAAAATATTATTTTTTGAAGGGAAGAAGGATGGTTTCAGATAAGGTGAAGAGGTTCAGAAAGAATAAATTCTGTTTTCTTGGTCACGACCCTAATCCAGCTTCCTCTAAAATCAGGTGAATTTTATGTTGATGTTAATGGCATTTGGATGAGGGCCCTTGGGTACTGGGGTTCAGGTAACTGGTAGCAGGGAAGATCTATATATATTTTAAATTGTTTTATTACCATGAACAGTACCCTCAGCACATAGACAGCTGGGAACTTCATCATTACGAAGAAAATAATTTGAGGCAGAATAAAACGAGGAAGGAAGGGGAAGAATTGGATACACCCAACACCCCCCCCCCCCCATAGCGCATGTGCCAAACAAATCATTTACTAGCCTCTCTCCCCCCAGCAGAAGTTTGATCTGTTCCTTTTCAATCAATATGCAAATGAGGGGTGTGAGGATTGTTTGTACAGCCCCCACCTCGCCTGGATATTAACCGTGGCTGATGAGAGTCAGTTTCCCTCAGCTCATCAGGAAACTTCAGCCAGCGGGGGAAGCGTGTTACTGTGTGTCGCGGTAGCAGCAAGGCGCTAGCAGCGGGGGAGCCTGGCGCGGAGCAGGGTCGCTGCTGCGCTAGCGGGAGCGGGAGGCTGCGGGCTTTGGTCCCGTATGTGCGAGCGGCAGCTGAAGAGCCAGCCCGCCCCCGCGCAGCCAGCGGCGCTGGGGGAGCAGCACCGACCCCGCGGGCTGCACTGTCGCTAGGGAGGCAGCTGGGCGAGGCGAGCGCGGTGGCCAAGGGAGCGGAGCGGCTGCTCCGGTAACCAAGGAGCCGACCCAGACACACGCCGGCGCCGCTCCCTTCTCCTCCCGCCTGCCCCGCTCCTGCCAGTCCCTCGCCTCAGCCGCTGCCTGAGGGCAGCCGCGCTCCGCCCCGCCCGGCGCGCCCCCATTACCTGAGTTGGCTCCGTCCCTGGGACTTGGGCTTTCGTCTCCCCCTGCGGGGGCCCTTCCCGCTCCCGCCGCCTGAGAGCCCCGCGCCTGCGGGAGGGTGAGCCGGGCCCCCGCCTCGGCAGCTCGGCTCCTGATGGCGGCGCATCAGCAAACCAGGATCCAAGCCTACCTGGAGAAGAACAGGATCGGGCCCCTGTTCGAGGTGAGGCGGGGATGGGGGCGCGAAGGCGAGGGGAGGGGTTGGGCTGCCGGGGCACAGCAGGTGCGAGCTCGTGTGTGACCCACCCGTGAAACGTCACGCGATTCCACGGGCTGCAGGCGCGCGCCTTGCGCCCCCTCCCCCATGCCTCTTCCCCCTGCACGGCACCTGCACCCTCACACGCCTGGCCCTGCTCTCCCCGACACGCAGGGGACGCCGCCGCCTCACGCGCAGGAATTCCCCCGCACGCAGAGCGCACGCCCCCAGATTGGCCACAGCCGAGGGAAGCCCCCCGGGTTCCGCAGCCCTTGGGGCGTGAGTGAGGCGAGCAGCGTGGGCAGCCGCCCTGGTTTGTGTGTGAACGGAGCGGGAAAGCGTCCCGTGCGTTGCTAGGGCGAGGGGACAGCGAGTGACTTTGCCCCGCCCGGCCTGAGAGGCGTCCCTGTCATTTCCATGGGAGCGCTGGGAAGGACTCCCGAAGGCGCGCTGGGCAGCGGCCAGCGCGACCTGTGCTGACAGTCTCACACACGCACAGAGCCGCCACATGGGAATACTTCCCTGGGCGTCCCTGTGGTTCAGGGCGAAACATAGAGGCTATGGGAAGACCTAGGGGAGACAGGAGAATGGAACAACCCTTCTGATGGGTTAGAAAGAAATTCAGCATAGCGAGAAATGAATGTGTATTTACAGGGAAATCACCGCACTGGGCTGGGAACATAATACTTACAAAATCTGCCTACACCTATTGAAAGCCTTTAAGGAATAACATAGGTGCTGCCCCACCCCCTGGCTTGAAGTGGTTTCTATCATATATAGGGTTTACAGTTTGGTTCAATGGCTCTCAGCATCCTCTCTATACAAATTGTTCCAGCACCCCGAGAAATGATGTATTTTACATCTGTATTTGCAATAAAACACTTGGCCACAGGCTACATGCAGTATTTTGCTTTAATATGAACAAGGTCTACAAAACCTAAGTGTGCGTATGATCATATATAGTACCATTGTGAGACGTACAACTCTGTTTTTCATTATTTTCCTTATCCTTTACCAATCTTAATGCGTCTGATTCACCTATTAGTGTTCCTTACCTGGAAAAAAATAGTTTGATGAATTCTGTCTCTCCATGTTAGGAGAGACCCTAATAAAAAACGATTCAAATTTTGTTAGAAAACAAGTTGATATGGGTCAGTTGTTATATCTTACATGGACTAAGGCTGTTATGACAGAATACCTTGGTTCAGATTCAAGGAGGTGGATATTTTCATTCTTCAAATCTGTAATAAAAAATCTATTTTTTTTTTAAATAATTCAAAGTAGATACTAAGGAATAGACCAATTTTAGGTATTTCTAGATATTTTTATCAAAACCAAACTTCCCCTTTTTGATGTTAATGAAATGTTAGATTTTTATAAACATGGTTGCTTGGCAACTATCATGAAAAAATGACTAATTTGTCTCCTCTTTTGACTTTTCACTAATAGACCTGCCTTTTGTATACTAAAATAAAAAAACAAAACACCCTACCTGATATCAACTTGCTTTCTAGTCCATAAAATAAGTGTGTGCCTTTTTACCCAAAGAGGCTCCTGGTACTTCACCTAGATAAAGCCTGGCTGCTCCTGTTTTATGCGGGTGATGTGAATTTCATAGAAGCATAGGACTTGAAGGGATCTTGAGAGGTCTAGTCCAGTCCCCTGCACTCAAGGCAGGACTAAGTATTATCTCTAGACCATCCCTGACAGGTGTTTGTTTAACCTGCTCTTAAAAATCTCCAATGATAGAGATTCAAAAACCTTCCTAAGCAATTTATTACAGTACTTAACCACCCTGACAGGAAGTTTTTCCTAATGTCCAACCTAAGTCACCCTTGCTGCAATTTAAGCCCATTTCTTTTTGTCCTGTCCTCAAAGGTTAACAAGAATAGTTTTTCTCCCCCCTCCTTGTAACAACCTTTTATGTACTCAAAAACTGTTGTTATATTCCCCCTCAGTCTTCTCTTCTCCAGACTAAACAAACCTCATTTTTTTTCAATCTTCTCTCATAAGTCATGTTTTCTAGACGTTTAATCATTTTTGTTGCTGTTCACTGGACTTTGCTCAGTGGAAATGTCCATTTTTCCTAGTTTGATCCTGACATCCTTAGTCAAGGAAAGCACCTTTGAAGTCAGTGGGAATTTGTCTTGCTCAAAGACCACAGGATCAAGCTAATAATGTAACTACGCTTGTTATATAGAAAGATACAGTATATTGGGAGCACAGTGTACACACAATCAGTTAAATTGAATAATATTTTATAGTTTGTCATGCCTACAGGTTTTGCCATAGTATAAAATGAAACCGATACTTGGGTTTCAGTGAAAGGTGGATAAAATCCTCTTCATATTCTTTTTGGCTTCTTTATCCCATTTCATAGAATATCAGGGTTGGAAGGGACCTCAGGAGGTGATCTAGTCCAACCCCCTCCTCAAAGCAGGACCAATTCCCAACTAAATCATTCCAGCCAGGGCTTCATCAAGCCTGACCTTAAAAACCTCTAAGGAAGGAGATTCCACCACCACCTCCCTAGGTAACCCATTCCAGTGCTTCACCACCCTCTGAGGGAAAAAGTTTTTCCTAATATCCAACCTAAACCTCCCCCACTGCAACTTGAGACCATTACTCCTTGTTCTGTCATCTGCTACCACTGAGAACAGTCTAGATCCACCCTCTTTGGAACCCCCTTTCAGGTAGTTGAAAGCAGCTATCAAATACCCCTTCATTCTTCTCTTCTACAGACTAAACAATCCCAGTTCCCTCAGCCTCTCCTCATAAGTCAAGTGCTTCAGACCCCTAATCATTTTTGTTGCCCTCCGCTGGACTCTCCAATTTTGCCACATCCTTCTTGTAGTGTGGGGCCCAAAACTGGACACAGTATTCCAGATGAGGCCTCACCAGTGCCAAATAGAGGGGAATGATCACGTCCCTCGATCTGCTGGCAATGCCCCTACTTATACAGCCCAAAATGCCATTAGCCTTCTTGGCAACAAGGGCACACTGTTGACTCATATCCAGCTTCTTGTCCACTGTAACCCCTAGGTCCTTTTCTGCAGAATTGCTGCCTAGCCACTCGGTCCCTAGTCTGTAACAGTGCATGGGATTCTTCCATCCTAAGTGCAGGACTCTGCACTTGTCCTTGTTGAACCACATCAGATTTCTTTTGGCCCAATCCTATAATTTGTCTAGGTCCTGCTGTATCCTATCCCTACCCTCCAGCGTATCTACCTCTCCTCCCAGTTTAGTGTCATCTGCAAACTTGCTGAGGGTGCAATCCACGCCATCCTCCAGATCATTAATGAAGATATTGAACAAAACCTGCCCCAGTACCGACCCTTGGGGCACTCTGCTGCCCACTAGACATGGAGCCATTTCCATTCCTGATGCTAATTAGTCACCAGTTGGCATGGACAATTGTCCTTTGCAATGTGTACAAACTCCATGGTGTCCAGTCAGTACAGGGTGAAGTTAGATGGAGCTCAGTAAAGGTTATATTTGGTCAGCAGGTCATGGCTATTACTGTCAAACTACCACTATACATGGTTCAAGGCAGAAGCTTTAAGGAAGTGCCTAAGTATTGCTGATTAACAGTGAGTGAATGAAAGGGTGCCACAGGGAATGGGCAGAGAAATAGTGAATTGAAGTGAGGAAAGCCAGGGATGGAAGAGAATAAATAGAAACGTGTCCAACTATGTAGATAAATGAACAGTACTCCGTAGAAAACAGGATTTTGAATTCCAGACACAATCATACTGGCATAACAAGCTGATGTCTGAAATGCCAAACCATATTTTTTTAATGACCAGTAGTTCCCTTACATGTTAGTCTGGGTGGTTGAAGCTGTTGGTCAGTGCATGGTTTGTCCTGCCAAAGGTGCCAATTACTTACGATTTTGTGTATGACAGTAACTGTCCTCCTTTCTGTTCTGTGTTATCCTGTACCTGTTGCCTCCATTTCTGCCCATTATTCTCCCTATTGTACTGTATTAGTAGTGGCCAGATCTGAACACCAGCTCTTATGGTATTCAACTTCAACAATAGCAACACATGGTGTACATGGGGATCTGTAAAGTTGCAGTTGTTTGGGAAATCTACACTTATTTGTAATCCCAGGTTAGGAATTGTTGACCCTTGGGCCCCAACCTGGGGCTCCAGCATCCATACAGCATTATGTGGGCCATATCTTACACTTTTCTTGTTTGTCCTGTTGATAACTCTGTCATATATATATATATATATATATATATATATATATATATATATATATAAAATGAGTCATAGAGTTTAAAGCAAGAAGGGACCACCGGATCATCTCATCTGACCTCCAGGATATCACAGGCCCTCACAACACCCAGCACCTACACACTAAATGCAGATTTCCTAGCAACCTCCCAAAATGTGGCCACTCTAGCCCTTTGTTTGTGGTGTAATGTGGGAAAACTTCGCTGTCCACCATGCTTGACTGTCCAGAGGACAAAAAAAGTCAGCTGGTAGATTGTGGAATACTTTTGTTGGACTCCCAGAGCATGAGTCCCGCAGGGCTGCGTCTACACCAGAAAACAGTACCTGAACCCTTGGGCCTGGATTGTCTCAGGCTCAGACCCTCCTCCCTGGTAACATGAGATCTTGGGTTAGCACCATTTGTGTGTAGACGGAAGGGGGAGCTAGACTCTGTTTAACAGGAATGTTGATTGTGGAATTATTTCTGCAAAAAACAGTGAAGCTTCACAGTGTGAACAGGACCTGTGTACATATTGTGCATAAAGCTGGCTAGGCAATAATATTCTGAATCTGTACCCACTCAATTCACCCACCCTGAATTCCCAGGACCTAATTCTAAAGTTCCTTTCTCATGCAAGTAGTTCTCACTCATGCTAATAATCCTAATAAAGTCAAGCTCCTCTGAACACTTGGAAACCAGGACATTACTCTTTTAGGATCAAACTGCTCCTGTTGAAGTAATTGGTC